CTGTTGAGTTAGGCCACGTCGAAAGTTGTAGAAAATAATCGCGCGAAAATGCTCACGAGTCAACCCCATAACTTGGGCTAAACAAAATCTTATAAATTAGTGTAAACAACACAAATCGCGCTCAAATTTCGCAACACATCCTCAAAATAGTCAAACTTCACGATAGTGACGTCAGTTGTTAGACTGCTACGCTAGTGCTGCCAAACCTCAAAATATAAAAGGCAACCCTCGTAATTATGTCACCTTACAACTCTGCTTAGTTCATGTAAAAGAAACTTCAACTTATTTCGACTTGAAGACCGGTAGTGAAAGTGAAGGTGCACCCTTTGCCAGCACTAATCGTGGTTAACATTCAAATCCAGAACAAGCATTGGGCTTATTTCGGCTCAGTTCTTGAGTAAATCTTGTTTTCCTCAATGGTGGCGGCACTATTTACCCTTTACTGCCCCATTTTGTCGAGAGTGCGATGGATTTCTATCGGGGACATGAAACCGACTGGAAACTTGCCTAGAGGGGTATTTTTACACGTACAACACGAATATCGCATCCACTCGTCATGAAGATGCCTAGCGCTCGCGCCACAGGTGCCGGGGATAAGTGGAGCTGGGTCACTAATCTTGCAGAAAACTTGCCTTTGAGTAGTGTGTTAAAACAAGGCATTTTCATGACGAATGGGTGCGAGATTCGCGTTGTACGGTTGAAATTACCTCTCCAGGCAAGTTTTTAGTCGGTTTCATCTTCTTAAAAAAATTCGACAAAAATTCAGCCCATTCTCGACAATGTGGGGCAGGGGTAAAGGGTAAATAGTGCCTTTACCTCATTTGGTGCCAGTTATCAAGCTTCTCCTTCTAGAACATTTATCAAAAAGACTGAAAAAACAGCAATCATAGAGTCTGCAATTTCACACAGATTTCCCTTTAATCTGCTTTTTTCAGGCTTCTCTTACAGTTGAACGTTTAATTGCTACATTTAGACTTCGTACTTACGAGAAAGGACATCAATATCTTGGGCCTATTATGGCAACTATTGTGGTATGTATTCATAAAGCAAAATAGTCAAGATCAAATTGAATGGCGACAGTTCAAGGACAAGTTTTGGCAACTCAGAGAATGTGGTCATAACAGTGAGCACGAATAGTTGATTGAACTCTTCATACCTGCTGCTGGCTATTCCCTTGTGCCTTTTTTATGGTGGAAGGGAAAATGCGCATGCACTCAGTTGAGCCCTTGAGGCTACTCGGTAGCGCATCCGTAGATGGCTTGCACTCATTTATCAAAATACTCATCACCATTCTTGAATTGTGATTGAACTTGCTCAGCCCTACACTGCTGCTAAAATAGCCCTTCCTATGCCTCTATCTGAACTTACTATGCTTAGGATCATTCTTCTAGGACTGTGGTGCCGTAAGTTCCCAATAGTTTTGTTGTCCTAATAAATCTTGTCCTAAAGGCAAGTCCGTGTTTGGCATGTGGCCCTGCATTCGGTTTTAATCCAAAATTTAGCGACCTTTTAAAGGCGTCTGTGTAATCCCAAGTCAGTGATTTAAACCTCCCGAGCAGGTTTGGTACCATCTAGAACAATAAAGCCTCGAAGGGATCGATGGCTTGATTGTTAACGACGGATATCGATGTTGTATTGGTCCTTCGACAACGCATCTGACAGTGCACCACTTGCCATTAGACCACATTCCCTCGAGTTCTGTGGCATTGTTTACTAAATATGTGCGTTTATGATCGGAGTTCAGGTGATTTCTGCAATTTTCTGTGTCGTATGGGGCCTTGGTGAAATGGACCCCAAAGAGTTGCAGTACCAGTGTGGTGGTGTGCCGGTTTCATCAAAATCTCGAGTGGTATCTATGTACAAGATTATGCTGCTAGTTGATGTCCTTGCTATCATAGCTTTCGCACTTTGTTATTATTACAACAGAAGAACTCTCGAGAGCGGGTTTGTTTGATTACTCTGTTCCTCACGTTTTTTTCGAAGCTCCACGAATCACAGCTTTTCAGAAGGTATGAACTTTCGCTCCGATATCAAGTCTATGAAAATCTGAGAGCCATACGAATTTTCGTACCAGTTGTCACCGTTCACTTCATCATCTTTGGCCTGTTTTTAATGGGTTCTATAATTATACGTGAATTTCGGGCCAGCTTAACGCCGAAAGCCTACAGTACTAGTCTTCTCGCTCTATATGTGAGTTAAGTTATTCATCAAGTAGTAGCTTTCTTTTGAAGTACGAACGAGTGATGAATAGAAGAGAAGGAAGAACCTAGTTTTTATAAATGCTACTTTGTGCGGTTGTCCGCTTTCGAAGAAATATGCTATTCAAAGAGCTTTTATTATCCTTGTCTTTTCATTAGGCTCTATTTTGGTTGAGTCAAAAGCACAGTTTACGTTAAAAACCTGGTTGAGGTGAAATAGTAGAAGAGTCAGCAGAATAGTGCAAAGTTGGTCAAGTAAGCGCAACAATCAGGGAGGGGGTTATAGGAGAACCAGTCGGGCCGCCCGGCTAACGCCGGGCTTCCCTCCTTCTTATGGGTTCGCCCGGCTACGCCGGGGGTTCCTCCTTCCTGTGAAAAATTTGCTATGCGTGAATAACACTTCGGATTCTGCTTTTTCTTTGAAAGCTCTACACCCTCAGTATTAGCCCCGAATTGGGAGCGATTTTTCTGTAATCCATTTTCGCTGTGCCCGAATAGAACATCGTATAATATCACAAAGGCGATCATT